ACCCCACATAGTAGGACAACGGCTTGATGTTATTGTTGTTGTTGTTGTTGCACTTTTTTTTCTTGACATGTAATGGTGATGAAAACTACCCTTATGTGTAAGCATGGAAATGATAATGACATAGGCTATGTAGATAATAATATTTGTTTCCATATAATTTAGTTTCCCCAAGTCAGTGTCCTGGAAGCAATCATATTAAAGAATCACTTACATTGGAAATCAACTACGTAGCATTAATATTTTTAAGCATAATTGCATTTCATAGCGTACGGTACCAACCAACGCAAAATAAACTAAAGTAACAATATTTGTAGTTTGTGTTTTCAAGATAACATTATCGGTTAAATTATGTAATTGTTGGGAAGGGCAGTCACACCTCATTTTGATCCCCTTTCAGTCAACCTAAAGTGTAATAGAGAAGAAGAAGCTAGAGAGAAATATTTCTTACTAACACTCATCTTGAATTACTTCAGGATCAAGCGAGTAGAAAATAACATATCTAGACTATCCCAGTATATCATTTTTTTTAAAGTCTTAAGTTTCTATCCAAATATTTCATCATTGGAAGCATATTTGAACACATTAAATGAAATACAGAGCGTACTAAACTTTTAAATAAACTTTACATACCCAAAAGTCTTATTGTATAATATCCTACAATCTTACGACCGAGAGGGTATTGAGAAGGCTTTAGTGGAAAAAAAACACTGAGTTATTATGTTATAATATGATATAACTTAAGTTAAAAGCACCAGCTCTAAACTTTTTTCTTCTATTTCCCCTGTCAATTGGCTTCTTGCATTCGAAGGAGCCTTATTGCATTCGAAGGAGCAGCAGACTGTGAGCATAGAGGGAGCGGGCTGCATGCGGGAGCGGCTGGAGTTTCTACATAGAAAAAAAATATAAAATAAAGGTAAGAAATTCAGGTAAGGGATGTTGTAGTGGTTTACTGAAATTATATAAGTGTTGAAATGTTTGCTGAAATTAATTGTTGGAACTTAATAAGAAATTGTTGAAATTATGCTTGCTAGAATCAATTTGTAGAAATCTGCAAAAATCAGCTGATGTTTGCTAAAATTAGTTAGGAAAAGAGAGAAAAAAAGCTTAAATTCGGAAAGTGTATTACTATTTTTTAAAATTAAGTAATGGTTTGTGCTACTATTTGTGAAAATAAAGGTTTATTGAAATCAGTTTGCTGAAGTCAATGTGGAAAGGTAAGAAGAGGAAAGAGAGGTAAGGGAAGGAGTTGGATTGAATGAGGAAAAGTTTGGAGGTAAAAATTCAAAATTTTATTAATTTAGTGTAAAACTTGTTCAAATTAAAAAAGAATTTATTTATGAAATTTTTATCTTTAGGTTATTTACAGAAGGAAAGGAATGTAGGATATTCTAGGAGAATCAATTTATAATGAGGTGAGATACCCAATTTGTACCATAGGAAATAAGAGCATTTTTATACACTCAATCTAATTATGATAGCATTTATTTTTCGTTAAGCATATTGTGTATGACTGATGGAATGCAATGTTTAAGAAAAATGCTACAACTGTTGATTTTTAACATATGCATGCGGGAGCGGCTGGAGTTTCTACATAGAAAAAAAAATATAAAATAAAGGTAAGAAATTCAGGTAAGAGATGTCGTAATGGTTTATTGAAATTATATAAGAGTGTTGAAATGTTTGCTGAAATTAATGTTGGAATTTAATAAGAGATTGTTGAAATTATGCTTGCTAGAATCAATTTGTAGAAATCTGCAAAAATCAGCTGATATTTGCTAAAATTAGTTAGGAAAAGAGGGAAAAAAGCTTAAATCCGGAAAGTGTATTACTATTTTTTAAAATTAAGTAATGGTTTGTGCTACTATTTGCCAAAATAAAGGTTTATTGAAATCAGTTTGCTGAAGTCAATGTGGAAAGGGAGGAAGTGGAAAGGGAGGTAAGGGAAGGAGTTGGATTGAATGAAGAAAAGTTTGGAGGTAAAGAATTCAAAAGTTTATTAATTTAGTGTAAAAATTGTTCAAATTAAAAAAGAATTTATTCATCAAATTTTTATCTTTAGGTTATTTACAGAACGAAATGAATGTAGGATATTTTAGGAGAATCAATTTATAATGAGGTGAGATACTCAATTGTAGCATATGAAATAACAACATTTTTATACACTCAATCTAATTATGATAGCATTTATTTTTCGTTAAGCATATTGTGTATGACTGATGGAATGCGATGTTTAAGAAAAATGTTACAACTGTTGGTTTTAAACATCTGCATGTTTATGAAAGTAAATGTAAATGAGATAATCATATATATGGGGTAGGCCCACACATGTAAGGTGAAATACATGAAAAGGTAAACATTAGTCTCTCTCACTTCTAAAAGTTAGGAATTCGGATCCAACATTGAATAAGAGAGCTGCCCTCACTTTTAAAAGTTGTGAATGCGGATCTAACTTTGAATTGGAGAGGTATAACTGTGTAAAAGTCTATAGTCATTCTATAACTTGCCAAAATTATTGAGATATAAATAGAACATCTAGAAAAGTGGAATGTAATTAGCACATTGAGTAATTAATATTGTTTTACATTCATTTCTTATAGTTTATAATTTTTATAGAGATCCCAAGATTATTTAAAATTGACTGCAGTTGTTATGTTCTTACTTCTTATATTATGCTTGTATATTTCATTGAGTTTTAGCTCATTAGTAGTGGTTGTGCTGCAGAAAAAAGGAAAGTGCCCATGGGCTATAGGTAAGAGATTGATTGCAATTTTATGTACATACATTTTGGGAGAATCTAAGACATTTCTTATTAGCACTTTCCTTGAATTACTTTTATCAGGATCAAGTGAGTAGGAAATAACCTATTCAGACTATCTCAACATATCAGGTTTTTCAAAGCTCTCTCATTTAAGGTTTGGTTCAAATTTCTAACTTTTAGAATTGAGGGCAGCTCTCTCATTCAAGATTGTGTCTGAATCTTTAACTTTTATAAGTGATAGAGACTAAAGCTTATCTTGTCAGGTCTTTCGCTTTATTTGTGTGGGTCTATCTCTCATATATGACTTATCTCATTTACATTTATTTTTCATAAACATGCAAATGTTCACAACCTACATCTGTGATTTCTTTCTGAAGCATCACATTCTATCAGTCTTAAACAACATGCTTAACAAAAAATAAGTGATATCACAATTACATTGAGTATATAAAAATATTCTCATTTTCTACACGACAGGTTGGGTATCTCACATCACTATAAATTGATTCTCCTAGAATACGTTGTCTTCTTTTTCTTCTGTAAACAACCTAAAGATAGAGATTTCATGAATAAATTCTATTTTAATTTCAACAGTTTTTACACTAAACCAATAAAATTTTGAATTATTTTCATCCACCAAACTTCTCGTTCATCCCAACTCATTCCCTTGACCTCTCTTCCTCCCTTTCTTTCCCTATTGAATTCAGTAAATTGATTTCAGCAAATCTTTATTCAAACCTTTATCTTCACAAATAGTAGCAGCAACCTGTTATGCTGGTTCAGCCTGGACCGGCTCAACTTGGACCGGCCCAGCCGGTCCGGGTTTACTCGCGGCGGAAGCGGCACAGGGAATAGGCGGAAGGGAGAATTGGGGTTGGGGTGGGGTCCACTTGCTTTTCAAACTTGGTTTAAGTGTTTTTGGAGGGAGAAAGAAGGGTAGAGAAGTCCTTTTGCTTTTAATTTGAATTAGATTGTATTAATAGGGAGTTATGAGGGGATTAGGTTTTCATCTTGATTTTGAAAAGAGTTTTGTGTTCTAGGTTTTCTTGCTTGGGCTCTTGGCGTTGCCGGAGATTGTGGGAGAGTTGTTCTTCCTCTCGAATTGAAGAACATTGTATCTTGCTTTGGTTTTGATCGTCTACTAGTGGAATACAATTATTTGCTATTATTTTCCCAACGTTTTCTCCCTATTCTCTCAGTTTTTCCACTGTTTGGTGGCTGTTTTCTATTGAAAATAGTGGAATATTTGTGTTTTGGTGAAGATCCGATAGGAATCACTTGGAATATTCAAGTGGTACCTATCACAACCATCACTTAATTCAAAAAACAATAATACCCTTTCCTGATTTTAGCAAACATGAACTGATTTCTGTAAATTGATTCCATCAAACATAGTTTCATCAATCTCTTACTGAATTCCAACAATTGATTTCAACAAACATTTTAATATCCTTATATAGTTTCAGCAAATCACTATAACAGCCCTTACTCGAATTTCTTATCTTTTGTTTTGTTTTGTTTTTCTTCTCTCCTCGCTAGAAACTCTAGTAGCTCTAGCGAGCAGCTCGCTCCCTTATGCTCAAGGTCTGCTGCTCCTTCGAATGCCAAGAGCCAAGTGGAGGGGGAAATAGAAGAGAAATGCGTCAAGGCTAGTGCTTTTAACTTAAGTTATATAATATTATAGCATATAATAACTTCCTTTTTTTTCTTTCCCCTAAAGCCTTCTCAATGCCCTCTCAGCCATAGGATTAAATCAGCCTATTGCATGATGTGGTAACTGGAGAGTAGCTACAACAGAATGTATTAAATGGCTGCATTAAATGGCTGATTTAGTTTAGTGCAGTAATATAAATTTGATTAACCTTTTAATTATTATTAATTAATTCTTAAGCTGAGATACTATTAAATACATATAGATCATGCTCCAAATTTAAAATAGGATTTAATGCAAATAAATTCGACGTTATTCATATGTGTTAGAAAATAAGGTAAAATTGTATTCTTACCTTTTTTGACAAAATTTCGGATATTATAAGGGCTGTTGACCTTGTGCTTTTAATGAGGCTATATATGCCTGTAATTTTTGAGATGTGATACTGCCTCTCTATGTTTATATTGAACTTATTATAATTTGCAGTTCTCTGTTGTTTCAGGAATTATTGCCAAATCACAGATGTTTCTTTCAAGAAGTAGAACGCTTTGCGTATTTTCTTTAATCTACTAATATCATTTCATCCACCAGGGATGACGAAATGAAGAGTCATATTGAGTTTCTAAGGAGTCTGGGAATTGCCGGTGTTGGTCATCACAATCTGCTGTTCTCTAAGGCCTCAACAATACCATTTACAGATAAGAATAACGACTCGGAGAGGTTATTGTAGATCTCACCCCCATGTTAATTTCATTGCGTTGTGATTAATATATGTAGGATGATAAATGGCTATATGCTTTTTTCTCGTAATTAATTTGAACTATGGATTAAGCATAGCAAATTGGATCTTTCCTAGCAAATATGCTTAATCTATTTGTTATTTTTAGGCTTTACACTGGTGCTGGCCAGTGTGGCGATCATTGGCTTGCTTTATGCTTTAGTTGTAATTTTTTTTTAACGGAGAATTATTCAAGCATCTAAACTTCTTTTACTAACTGCAGTCTCAAGGGAAATAGCATTGTTCGGAGCTCTCAATCAAATCCATCCGTTGAATGTGTAGTTAATGGGTATGAACCATGGTTACCTTGAATTTAATCATCCTTTTGTGGAAAAAGTATTCTGTGCGGAGTCCGGAGACATCGGAGACCAATAAAAATGCGCCACATCACCTCAAAAATGTACCGTGCTCGATACCGCTTGGTACCGAGCGCGGAACCGGATGGGAGAACCGTCCGGTGTCCGCACAGAATAATAACTCCGGTGGTGCTTCTTAACAGAGTGCTCAGAAAATTTGTGTTTGACTGCTTTTTCAGTGCGGAGTTTGCTTTCAACCCAAAGGATGCAAAGTCATTTTTGCAGGCAGGTAGTTCTCGTGTTCAAGAACCGAAAGAAAAACCTGAAGTGATTGCGGAAAGGATACTTCGTCTCTCTCAAACCCTTGAAAACAAGGTTAAACCCTTTCTTTTAGCTTTATGAAAAGTGCTGTAACATGTTTACCTCTTAGTTATTATATACCTTGTGGTTCAGGCAATGGTTTCAAAACTGCCAGATCAAGGTGAGAAACTGCGTAAGCAAATTTCAGATTTGAAGGCTCAGCTCCAAATATTAAGAGATTCTCCTACTAACCAACCTTCTGAGAGGAAGCCGCATCAGGTTTTTGAATTGGATGACCTGTCGCATGATTTGCAAAGGATTGTCAATTTAACGCTACCCCCAAAGGAGTAAAAAGCGGCTGATTCTTCTTTGGAACTACAGGTAGGCCTTGAGGGAATTCTCTTGCATATATATTATATATAACATATGGTATGAGGCGGTGAAATGTTATGCAGTGGACAATGTTGGTAAAAAATATGCCAATTTATGTCGGTCAAAAGCACATTTCTGATGTTCTTTTGAGCTTGAAAATTTTGTAGTTCAACTAACTCAATTGAAAATTTGTAGTTCAACTAACATTTGAAGGAATGTTATTATTTATAAAGCCAACTAACTCGTTTAAAAGATAGATAATGTTAATCTAAATCTTGGTTAAAAGAGAATGGCATACAAGTTAAGAAATTTAAAGTTGAAAGTTAATGAAGTTAAGTGATTGACTTAAGGAAGAATAATTTATATATCCAAATATTAAAATTGGAAAAAAAATGAATTAATAAGGTCATTTTTTATAGTTAATTCTATATATATGACACCAAAGCAGGTGAAGTGAATGAATAAAAAGGGAGAAAATTAGTTTTCTAAGATTGAGGTGGGTGGTTACCCTTCTAGCATATATTAGTTTTGATTCTCTTTTATGATTTAATGCATTGATTGATATGAACGTTAACAATATTTTTCACATATTTGCATAACTATCCTCATATTATGATGAACACTTAATGTAAAAGCATCTTATTTTGAACCATGAATGCACAAACATAAATGTAAACGAAAGATAAGATTAATGAATGAAAAATAATGAAACAAAATGTATGTGCATGTTAAAACGGAGTTCACTTTGTTATGTTTATTGTTGTGTTACAATGTATTTTTGCATGTAAAATTAAAAAAATAATAAAAAAAAGAATTATTATTTAGTAGCTCATTATAAAATGAAAGATGTTTTCATTGGATTTCTTGTAATGTTATTTGTAATGGATTAAACAAACATTTGATTGGTTGTATCCAGCTTGGTATTCTAAGGCTTCGTTTGGGACGGCTTTCTCTCTGCTTCTTAAAGCAGATTTTTAGTACAAAAATTTTAATTTTTGTACTAAAAAGCTGTTTTAAGAAGCAGTAAAAAAGCCGCCCCAAAAGAAGCCTAAGTTTTCAGATTGGGTCGTGATAAAAGTAGCATTAAAGAAATAGTTTTATTAAGAAACATTAAACAAAGCCATTAGGATGATCTTTGAAATTTAGTATACTTGATTTTATATTATCTTAAATTCTAGTTTGATAATATTATTTTACATTTCACAACTATGAATGGTATAGAGGAAAATCTTGAGTGAATTTCACCAAATGTTTCTGTTAATATAAATGCTCTTTACACAAATGATAAAACAATTAATTTGTTGATACAAAATTCATGGTCTCAACTTAGTGGAAATAATACTAGTTATTGGGAAATAGCATTGTTTTATTAAGGTATGCATCATAACTTATCCATACTGCATACAAAATGTGTCATAAATTTTTGGGTAAATATTATTAAACCAAAACTATTACTCAATAGGCAGAAGTTTTTCATACCAATCACTAGCTCCCTTGTGATTTTTTTTTTCTTCGTATTTATATCAGGATTAAACACTTTAAAGATTTTCTTTCAACAATAAGATATGATGCAAAATAATAAATATGTAGTAATTTATAGCCATAAATAAAATGTACAAGATAAATAATTATAAGAATATGTAACAAGTTTTATGTGGTTCGATAATAATTAATGTCATACCTTGTTGTCTTGAGTCCTTAGATTTTTTTTTTTTTTTTCATAATTTGCACTAAAGACAAAAATTCTTAATACCATGCATCTCTTTGGGCAAATCTCTTTTTCTTTATCTTCACATCAAGGGTATTTATTAAAAATGTTGCTTATGATGTACATAAGTCATCACTTCTTGAAATATTTGTTATCAATAGTTTCTTCATGATTTATATGTGAGATTTGTTTGGGCATAGGGTTTAAGTAGGTATCTTTGTAAGAGGTGTCTGGTATATATATTCGTTATGTTTATTTTTACTCACCAAATAGTTTGCAGAGATCTACAAAATTTAGGAGATGTTATGTTGTTTTTTCATGGGATTAGGTGTTTTATATCTTCGTGGAGTGGTAAAATTCTTTGTAGGGGCCCACAAATAGTTAAATCCAGTTCAACATTAATCGATAACATCGATTCAAAAAAGTTAAGTAGCCTAATCTTTGATGAATTGGATGAAGGCCATTGTAGGAAAATGTGAGTGATATATCATAATAAAAAAAATTATGTTCACCATGCACGATTCTCAAGGCAAAATCAAGTTTGAAATTTTCAAAATTAAATTCGAGATCATATGAACTCCGATTTCAGCAAACTTATAGTCGAATTAAACGTCTCGAAAAGACAAACTCAACAGCACCAAATTCGATCCAATCCAAGCCCAAATGGGTCCAAATCGAAGATCGAAGCGCATTTGAAAGATTTAAATAAAAAATGGGATGAACAAATAGTTTCCAAACGTGATATGCTTATAGTCGAATCGAGCAGCTCGACGAAATGAATCCAACGAGTCCAAGATCTATGAATTCTATCATCACTAAAGCACTCAAATACTCAATAAACGGTCTATGTTCAAAGGAGTCGATACAATCTTCCATTCAAACACTCCTAAAGTACCCCTGATCTCCCTCTTATTTAATGGTCATGACACTCTCAGAAAATTCTAAATAGACACCTCATTCCTCATAGAAAGAGGACGGAAGCAAGGAAGAGAATGAAGATAGAGAAATTAGAGCTCTCTTGTCATAAGACTTCTCCTCAACCACAGTCGACAACGAACTATCGCTAGACTTACACCTGGCTACCAATTGATGTCGGACTTCTACCGGGCCACCGATTGATGAAGGACTTCCACCCAGCCATGAAGGACCTCCGTCACTAGACTACGGTCTTTCCGACCTTCGTTGTCCGTCAACTATAGTCCTTCCAACCTTCTTCGCCAGACAATGCTCTTTTTGGCCGCTATCGCCTGCCGACTATGGTCCTTCCGACCTCTATTGTCATACTTTGGTCTTTATGACCTCCATCGTCTCCCGATTATGATCCTTTCGACCTCAATCACTATTGTCTTTCTGACCACTATTGCTCACCAACTACGATCCTTTTGACCTCTCTCGCCAGATAACAAACTTTTAGATCACTGTCGCCCGACGACTACGATCCTTCGGACTTTCATCGCTTGACAACGATCTTTCTAACCATTGTCGCACTCCAACTACGGTCCTTCCGACCTTCGTCGCTAGACTATGGTCCTTCCAACCTCTGTAAATCGCCTACTATAGTTTTTCCGACCTCCATCTCTAAACAATGGACTTTTTGACCTCCTTCGCATGCTGACTACGGTCTTTTCGATCTTCATCACCATATAATGGTATTTTCGAGCTCCGCTGCCGCAGACTATGATCCTTCCGACCACCATCATAAGATTATGATCTTTCCAACCTTCGTTGCCTTCTAACTATCTGCATACCAAACAAACATGTCAATATTGATTCTTTCAATTTTCGTAATTTAATGCACTCTATATGATGTATATTTATTATATCAAACCAAGGACAAACCCCCCCCCCCAAATGAAGGGCCTCATTTGCAAACGATTGCAAACAGTAGTGGAATGACTAAGCCAAGCCGCGTAATTTTTCCCTCTTTTTAGGGGTTTCTACATAAGAGCTATGGTGTCTCTTTTGAAAGTTACATCCTCTCTTTTCTTAGATTGTGTCTTGAATCCTCGAACAAAACTAAAACATTAAACTTTATAGTTCTTTATCGCTGCAAATATTCAAGTACTCAACAGTGAGCATTAGAATTTTGTGATTCACCTAATCCAGCTTAACTATAAGTTTACTGAAATTAGAGATTGGATGATCCCAAATTTAATTTTAAAAGTTTCTGATTCTAAAATGCCTTGAAATTCATACTCGATTAAGACAGTCTTTTGGTGAATTTCAAAATTATTTTTTTTTTCCTATCAATTTTATTTACTCTTTTTTTTAGGTATAATTCATAATTTGATGTAAATTAAAGAAATTCCAAATTTAAGATCATATATTTAGTTTTTTGACCCTATCTCCTGTACGGCCTGGAAATAGAGCTTATGTTTTTATAGGCTTTTTAGCTCAATATCATTTGCTGAAGGTAAGGCCAATAATTATAAGGACAGTCAATATATATATGTGTGTGTGTGTGTGTGTGTGAAAGAATAAATTTTCTATAGTTTTTAATATAAAAAAATTCATTTAATTTTAATTTATTTCCTACAGGACAGTCAATGATTCAATCTCAATCCACAATTAAATTTGTTAAAACTTTAAAGTAGTGAAAGATTGATGTTTCTTTAGATCCTAATAATTAGTATTATAATACAATAATTAGAATATTATATGATATATTATACATAGAATTGATTGGATCCATGTGACATCACTATTTTATGAATTTTAAAAAATAAAAAATTTTAATTTTTTTAAGGCCCCCATGTCAAAATAAATTACACTTATTTTAAAATTTTGGAAAAGAAAGCTTCTTCATCCTTCATAACTTCCTATTATGTCTATAGAAGTCAGAGCCTTTTGTAATTGATTTGTTGAGTCAAATCATCAATGAGCCCATTATGAAGATTTGAACAAGGCTTAAGGCACATTTAGTCACCAAATTTCTTGATTTAAGATGTGATTGTTGAAATCCGTGTGCTTTATGTGATGTTTTGATTATTTCAAACATTAAGAGCTAGTTCATTGTTTGCTCTTTGATTTTTATATCTTACATGTTTCTTTTGTCTGCTACAAATATTTTAGGAATAAAATACACATAGTTGAATAAAAAAACAAACTCAAAAAATTATAGCATTGAGTCTAGTTAAATTTGTAACAAGAGTTTGTATTTTCTTTTTTTAGTCTTTTATATAATTAGATGTATAATGCAAGACAACTGAGCATACACTCAGAAATGGATATGAAAATAAAACACTTGAATTCTCTATTAAATAATACTTTATGGCCTTAATCATATTGTAAGATCTCAATCATATTATATGATTTATTAATTATGATTTATTAATCTATAAAATTAAATTAAATTAATTAAATTGATGTATAGCATAACTAATTGTACTATATGACCCAAGTTAATACAAGACTATCAATCATTTTGTTAAAACCCTGCCATTGAATCTGAGTTACCAAATTTAGGTAAATTTGAAAATTGAATTTTGACTTAGTCATAGTATACGAAAGATTTCGTATTGTAGGATTATTAATGAATCTTGCAAAAATTGGACCATTTATCAAGCTATCATATTATGATTAAATCTTAATTGACAATCATACTTAATAATCCAAATCGTCCAGTATGATTTAACAAAATATTTGGTGTAACAATCTTGGTTCGCTCTCGACTTTTCTTAATTCAATATAGCTGATCATACAACAACAACAACATCAAGCCTTTATCCCACTACGTGGGGTCAGCTACATGAATCCTTTTTCTCCATTGTGTCATATTAAAAGTCAAATATACCTTATCAATATAGCTGATCATAGTGTATAATTAATTATTGTATCGTTCCTTCTTCAAGACCGTATGCACCATTGTTAAAGGAGACAATATGTGTTGATCACTACTTCTACTGCCTCTCCATACCCAAGCTGAAGAACATGCCATCTCGTCTGACGATGATTATAGAACTTAGAAATCAGTGTTTAACTAATTAGACAGTATGATACACACCTTATCCTTTGAGAGAGGGTTTCGGAGAGGGAGAGGTATTTCCTTTCTATTAAGAGTGTCCAATCCACTTGGGAGATAGAGAGAGAAGATGAAGTTGAGAGATTGTTCCTTGAGGTAGTTAAGGGGTGTGTGAGAAAGTCATATGATTATGCTCATCATCCTGCACCTTAGGTCCGATTTACTACACCTATTGCTTTTGAATTTGTTTAAATTCAAAACACTGCATTTTTAACATATAACCAACCCCATGCATATCCCTATTCTTAGCCATCTCAAAGTACTAAGGCCAAGTCATTAAGGGGAAGGTTGTGTAAGAGGAGAAAAGTTTCAATACAATTCTTAACATGGTATTATTTTTCCTTCCGCTTTTATTTCTACTAATCTAATCTCATGAGACTCTCTCCTATATTTTTCTTCTTTTCTTCTTCTCATTTTACACACACTTCACATTTTTGGCCACCCTAATAATATTACTTTGGATGTTTGAAATCTAATTGTTATAGATTACTTATTTCACAAATCCTTTCCAGCTTCATGATTAATATGAGGATAAATATTTTAATAAAGTTATAGTAATCGGAAATGAAGAAATTTTTGAACTTATATAAATAACAATATATAACATTAATTAATTAAAAATCAACATACTTCAGCCGCTTTAAACTTGGAAAAAGCAGCATAACGCAGTAGAGTAAGAGGCCATTATTTCACATTCCCTAATATCATCAAAGTGATAGAAGGAAGCACATTATAGATATAACCTCATTTAAGAAAAAAAATTAATGGCCAGGAGGAAAAAGATGAACGGAGAAGTCGGCGGCGACCTCCGTCTGGAGGCGGTAGATGATGCGGTGCCAAGAAGCTGGTCATATCCAACAGGGAGTGGCATGTCGTTGGCGCCGTCACCGGCGACGGTGCAGGTGGCGGGATAGCCGCCGGCAGCATTGCGGAAAGCGCGGAGAACGTACGTGGCAGTTGGAAGGTAGCGGGTCCGGTTCTTAGATAGAAGCCAAGTCAGTCCCATGAGTTGGCATTCCCTTCCGCCTTTCACATCCTCGCCGTTGATGCTTCCTTTCTCCTCATCCTTGCTCTTCAACTATAAATTTTAAAATTAAGAAATAATTTTAAAAAGAGCCATATTCAGAGGTTAAAAATGAAATATTATATCTTTTTATTATAATTTTTTTAAAATTATTATTATGTTCAATTAAAAAAAAGTATATTAAATATTATACCAGCTCCACAGGTGCAGGACCCACAATTATTTTCTCCCCCGAAGAGGTCGTGCCGTATGAGAGGGGATTCGAACTCGGAATGGGGGGTTCCCAACCAAACTCGCCCACCAACCCACCTAAGCCCGGTGGGGTGTTTTAGATGAAAATTACTGAATAAGCAGAGTTAAAATTGACTCTTTTTTTTAATGTGCATCATCAAATATTTTTTTATTTACAAAATTATCACTACCCCAAACTTAAAATGAACTGCTAAATCTATAAAATGGCACGAATGTTAATTTTATAATGAAAAAAGTGTTTAATGACAAACAGATAACTTTCCCCTTTTATCTTTTCTTATGACATGTTTCATGCAATGAATAAAAAAATCAATAAAAAAATGTATCATATAAATTTAATTTTATCAATGCAAAATTTTCAAAAAAATTGTACCAACAAGCTAAAGAATCAGATTCTTAGAATTATGAGCTTTAATGTTAGACTGTCGTAATTATTATATTAATTTTATTAATTTTTAATAATAATATTATTTATTACGTCATTTGGTCCGACTCTGATTCGACTGGTCGAATCATGAGCATATCTTTCATCCGGTTCTTTTTTCGATTCGATTTTCACAACCTTGAAAAATATAATGAATTTTTTATTTTTTGTCAGCTTAGAATACATTAAATTGACTATTTATCCTAATTATTTCTAAGAAGCTGATTCCCATCGCTAATATTTAGGTAATTGCATTGAATTCGGTAAAAGAAAATTCAATACAAATTTTCCATTATTTGATTTTGTAGTGTGTTAGTGAAAGAAAAATTTTCAAATTTCATTTTATTTTTTAAAACGTTTTACAATTTTCTATTTCGCAAATAAATGAACACTTCAGCATCACGAAAAATTATTAGGTCCGGACACCGGACGTAGAGATACGTCCGGACTCCAATAAAATATTGACATGTGGAATGTGCACGTGTCCGCAGAATTTTAGTCAAGCACGTTAAAAGCACAAGTAAAGTGCAGATAAAGCGCAGTCAAAACGTAATCAAAAACTCAAGCAAAGTATTATCAAAGCACAGTCCACATGTCAAATTTTAATTGAATATTCGGAGCTATTTGTAAATCCGGTGTGAGGATCTAATAATTTTTCCAGCATCACATGCGGAAAATTAACGTAAGTTAAAAAGGTTACCCGATAACTAACCTCATAAAGAACCCTTAAGCAGGAAGTGCACCCGCTAAGTCCCGGCCTTTCGCACCCGAACTCTAGACTTTTCGCCACGTCATCCAACGGGACCCACCTTCCCTCCCCACTGCCTCCGACCACAAACGGTCCCGAACACTGCAGTGGATGTAGCCGCACGCCACACGCGCATGATGCGGCGCCACACGTATCATTCGCTCCTTGGATCTCTACTCCGCGGGCCCTTAGCGCCGCCTCCGCCGCCGCCGTGCACGGCTCAGTGTCGCCGGGAAGGACCGGAAGCTCGTCGTCGGAACGTTCAGCCGATGGCTGCACACGTGTCGCGAGCGCCTCGGCCGAGTAGGCGGTTAAGAGCCATGCTGCGAGCGCAGGGCAACAGAGGTCAGTGGTGGCTTGGGAGCACGCGGCGGAGACGCCGCGGAAGAAATCATCGGGGAGGTTGAGGGGACAGAAGTCGGTGGAGCCGGGCTGCGCACGGGAGGCTGGGATGGTGGGCGGACGGGTCAGAGTCGGGTCGGTGGAGGAGATGAGGGGGAGGTGGCCGGAGATGGTGAGAAGGAGGATGTGGAGGAGCGGGAGCATTGTTTGGAGTCGGTGGAGGAGCTGAGAGGAAGAGATCGAATGAGTTCAATTATTTGGCTGTTTGGAGGCAAGGCTGTTAGCGATGTATTGTAGCAACATGTCATGTGTCATGTTCTGCTTAAATTCAGAAAATAGAGGACGTGGGACAATAAGGCTATTCATTATTTCTTATCTTTATTAGGAGGATAGGGGAGTTATATATAATACTGTTCTTGATGCCGAATTTTGATAGAAAGGGATGTAGTAAGTGATAGTTTTTTTTTTTTTTTTACGCAAAAGAAAGACAGTTCAATTATTTTACAAAATAATACAGAAAAGAATATGAAGTTATCATTAAGAATGAGTTACCATGTTGAATATATATTGAGTATGAATCTCAATAAAATAAAGCAAAAAATATTACATATAGAGTTTGAAAAGATAAAAAATTAGAGATCCATTGAGTATAGAAAATAGGTATCTAAAGTTTAGTATTCGTGGAGATGAAAAATGTGATTATGATGAGCATTCATCATTGCCTTGAGACCGTCAAAGATGTTAAGGCGGCATAAACATAAAATTTGGAAATAAATTAAAAGATATTACTTTATACTTGCATATGCCATTCAGATATTTATAAGGTAGTCGATAGGTTACAAAAAGATGACGCAAGTCTAGTTGAACCCCACTCAGGAACACGCCCAAAGAGCAATAGGCCTATTTGCACAAGCCTACGAAGGAAGATCATGCCACACAAGAGGCACCTAAGGACCTTTCTGACCAAGTAACTTGCCATTCTCATCACATAAGGAAGGTAGCCGTCACAACAACTCACCCCACTCAAGGGTGATGCTTTCATCATGTACATCTAAGACTAGCTATAGTAAAGAGCCTACTTTGAGGGTCTTCACGTGCTCCACCATAGTTGACCATTGAGCTTGTCTTCTCTGTCACCTTAGTTCAATCTCCTTCTCTCCTATGGTGACACAAGAATTAGTGTAGGTTACCCATAATACCAATTCAACACCTAGTCACTAAGCTCAAGTTGTTGGGTACAAGCTTGCAGACATTTCATTCCCTATTGGTATCATAAAATTCACTCATACTATTGAGCTTGCCTAGAGATAGCTCACTATAGGCTCTATAGTCCCTGCTTTCTAAACCAAGTAGGAGGCGACATGTAATAACCTACATTTTGACTTTGTCAATTTTTTTAGAGTAATTGTAACTCCAAATTACAATTCGACTTCGCTATCAAGTTTTCATTGTAGTATTTTACTTACAATATTTTTTTTTAATTTTTGGACACCGGCGAAAATCGTTAAGGAATTAGTACCTATGGGTATAAGCGAGGATTTCAGGATCGTTAGGTGTCCGTATTACAAACTGATTTCATTGATATTTTTTAAATAATATGATTTATTTTATGAATATTTTTTCATAATTTTTTAAGACAAAAAAAATTTATTTGAATTTTATACTAAAGAATTGATTTAATTAATTATTAAATAAATATTATATTAATATTATTTTATTATTTTTTATAAAATATCTTAAACCATTAAGAATCTTTTTAAATACTTTTCTCATCCTTATTTCGGCAAATAGAGATTTGACCTAAGGGAAATGAGAGAGAAAGTGAGGGGAGAGAAAAGAGAAGTCCGGATTTGAAGGTTGTGGAGTGATTTTCGTTAGTCCGGTCAGTTGGCCAGTTGAGATATTTTCTCGTCTCAATGTAAGGAATCTTTATCTTATTTTTTATTTTAAAAATTTTATATTTTTTGAGACCGTCACGTGTCCGTTTTACAAACTGATTTCATTGATGTTTTTTAAATAATAGAATTTATTTTATGGATATTTTTCTATAATTTTTGAATTCCAAAAGTGATTTATTTGGATTTTATACTAAAGAATTGATTTAATTAATTATTAAATAAATATTATATTAATATTTTATTATTATTTATTAGAAAATATCTTAAACCATTAAGAAACTTTTTAAATCCTTTTCTCCTCCTTATTTTGGTAAGCAGAGATTTGATTTAAGGGAAATGAGAGATAAAGTGAGGAGAAAGAAAAGAGAAGTTCAGATTTGAAGACTGCGGAGCTATTTTTGTTAGTCGGGTCAGTTGAGATATTTGCTCATCTCGATGTAAGGATCTTTTACCTTATTTCTGATTTAAAAGATTTTTTGTTTTTGATATTTTTCTGATCGAATTTGTATTCTCTTTACCGAAAAATGTGAATAACTTTTTATTGACAAAATTTTCATCGCATAACTTTTGTATGTTGTAGAGATCATAATTATGAGCATTTTGAGTATTTATTTGAGATTTTTCATAAGGTAATTTTTAAAATACAATAATTTTTGTTCACCCAAAAATTTATTTTGACGTCTAAAAATAGTAGTATAGTTCAATAAAAGTTTTAAAACATCATTTTACATAATCTCTGCAAATTTGGTAATTTTCTAAAATATACATTTTTGCATATTAGGATTCTTTGTTATCTACCATTTTGATGTTTTGACGTCTTTTTAATTAAGTTCAATTATGTATTATTTATTGTAATACATTTAAAATGGACGTGGATATATACTTGAGTAATAGCTGATCACTATTACTATTATAGTATATTGATAATACTATGTGTGTGAAATAAATAAGTAAAGACTAGTTAACCCGTTGGTTGGAGATTGATTGACCTGTACAAGATGGTGGGCTGATGGACTTTCCTTTAAATATTATGATTTGGTGTTATTCTCTACTAATTCACGTGATATACTGATTAAGAGTTATAAGGAGATCATTACCATGCTGACAAACAAAGAGTGATGACTCTATTTATTGAGCTAACGGTTTACTAACACTAGAAATACTGTGATAGTCAGGACTTCTTTTTTATTCAGTATGACTACTGAAATGCATGTTCATAAAGTATTATTCTTGTTAATGTGTAGATTTATTATTACTGTATGGGTTTACTATTATTGTATTGATTTACTGTTATTATATTATTCTACTTCTCCTGTCACTGGATTGTTACTATTATTAATATATATACTAATACTATTTGATACTACTAATTCACTGTACTGATATTAAGTATATGATGTACTGAGCATGTGATATAAAATGTATGGATAGTATGCGTATATTCCTATATGATTTTACTGCATTGAGTCAATTTCAACAATCTTGATCGATATTTTTCTTTGATATTTTATATAATTATTATACTAATTACTATTATTGATATATGATTATTTTATAGATTTACTAATCATACTAATTTCTTTCTTTACTAGCTTCCATACCATAATATTTTATTATTTATAGATTATACTGCTATTATATTTGAGATTTATTATTTTTATAATGATTCAATAATCATATGAATATAACTATTATGATTTGACTATATATATACATATTGCTCAATTATCATGCTTTGAATTCAGTTATAGGCTTTAGTGACTTATTGGGTTTAAGCTCATTATATGTAGTTAAATGATTTCAAGTCAGGGTAGGGGAGCAGAAGTGTCAGGCTGGTCAGGATTCTTCATATTCTATTTCTTTTTGTTATAGTCATGAGTAATGTATATGATTTTTTGGAATAAATACAGATGTGTATATTGATATTTTAAATTATAGAATTTATTTTTCTATTTATTATTGATAGATAATATTAGATATCTCTATTTATTATTTATTTAAAGGATAAATGAATAATTCTTCCAATTTAAATTTCGGGGCATCACAATTGATATCACAACATAGTTATTAGAAGAATTGATTGTTACCAGAGCTATAGGAATTAATTGTGTGTCGTGTAAAATATATAGCTTAAGGTGCATTGCTTTGCATATATAATTAAATGACATGTGATATAATGAATTACATGACTGTATGATTTTTGGATGAGTTTTGATTTGATTTTGATTTGATTATACAAATTTGGTTTATATTGATTTTGTGTATGAATCCTTAAGGGAAAAATTGGGGATGACATTTTCTTAAGGTTGGTATATTATAATAACTCGTATTTTGACTTTGCAAATTTTTTTATGTAGTAATTATAACTCCAAATTATAATCGAACTTCGTCATCATGTTTTTATTATAGTATTTTACTTACATGAATTTTTTCATAATTTTTGGACATCGGTAAAAATGCTTAAGGAATTAATACATGTCAGTACAAGTGAGGATTTCGAGACTGTCAGATATCAATTTTACAAATTAATTTCACTGATATTTTTTAATAATATAAATTATTTTATGAATATTTTTTATAGTTTTGATGTTAAAAATGATTTATTTAAATTTTATACTAAAGAAATAATTTAATTAATTATGAAATAATAATTATATTAATATTATATTAGAATTTATTAGAAAATATCTTAAACCATTAAGAATCTTCTTAAATCCTTTTCTCCTCCTTATTTTGACAAACAGAGATTTGATTTAAGGGAAATGAGAGAGAAAGTGAGGAGAGAGAAAAGAGATGTCCAAATTTAGAGGTCACGAAGTGATTTTTGTCAATCATGCTATTTGAGATATTTGCTTGTCTTGATGTAAGGAATCTTTACCATAATTTTGATTTCAAACATTTTGTGTTTTCATTACAAAAAATATAAATAACTTTGTATTAACAAAACTTTCATTACGTAATTTTTTGTATGTTATGAAGATTATAATTATGAGCATTTTGAGTATTTATTTGAGATTTTTCATCGGGTGATTTTTAAAATATAATAATTTTTATCTACCCAGAATTTATTTTGACATCTAAAAATAGTAGTATAGTATAATAGAAGTCTTAAAATACCATTTTACATAATCCCTACTAATTTGGTAATTTTCTAAAAATGTACATTTTTGCCTAATAAGATTCTTTGTTGTTTACCATAATGATTTTTTGGCATCTTCATAATTAAGCTCAATTATATATTATTTAATGTAATATATTTAAAATTGATGTGGATATGCACTTGAGTAATAGCTAGTCGCTATTACTGTTATATTATATTAATAATACTATACGTATGTGAAACAAACAAGTAAAGACTAGTTTACCCATTGGTTAGAGACTGGTTGACTTGTATAGGATGGTG